GTGAGTCCACCTTTCCAGCTTTCCCGATCCAGGAGGGCCTCTCCATGGCCCCCGGGGGCCCTGCACAGGTTCTGCAGGGAGGATGGGCGGGTGAGCCAGGGGGTGGTGTCGTCAGGGAAGTCTCTGCATCCTTGACCAGTTGCTGTGACGCCGTGAACAGGTGCACACCCCTGGGGCCGCAGGACCTGTCCCCTTGCCCCGTCTGTGGTCCTGCTCATCTCGCCTGTAAAGGCAGGTGGTGGTTTGTCGGTAACCACATTCCCAGCATCCAAGGGGTGGCTGCCCCATGAGGTCCCAGAGGTCAGGCCGTGTCCCCAAGGCACACCTGTGGATAACAGAAGCAGGTCTCTGCCTGGCCTGGAGCCTCACACCGCACACCACCCAGCTGCTGATGGAGGGTCTGAATTATCTGCGGGGCTGGGCACATGGACATCACCAGGAAGGGTCCCCTCTGACATCCTGGTTGTCATCCGGAAGCCAGGTGCCGCAGTGCTTTGCACACAGGCGGCTTGGAGGACATGATGCGTCCAAGGCTGCTGTTGAGAAAGACCACAGTGAATAGGGCTCGTCCGCGTTGGGCCCTCTGGTCCTGCTGCCCGCAGAGGCTGGGACGTCTGAGAGGGCCCCGTGTGCTGAGCCTCTGGGGGATGAGGGCTTGTTCTCAGACAGGGTGGCCTCCACGTGCTCACCTGGTCAGGGTGGCCGGGAGGCCCCTGCGGGAGCCTCGGGCTCTGACCGTGTGCCATTACCCATGCAGGGCGCCCAGGAGGCAGGTCTGGGCTCCCCTGGGATGTGGGCCTCTCCTCAGTCCAGCGGGTGGGTGACGAGGTAGAACCGAGGTCCCTTCCACTTGGGGGTGGGTTAAGGAGTGGAGGTAACTCACCCCCCTTCCCCCTTTAGGACGCATCAGATGCGAAGTGTAAGTTCTTCCGGCCGGCCCAATGTCGCCCCAGGCCTGCGCCGGACTCGGGTCCTGGCCGAGAGCAGGGCTGCTCTGTCCAGAGACGCCCAGACCCTCGACGGCCTGGGCTGTGGTGGCGCCCGAGTCCTCGACGGGGCGAGGCGGCCTCCAATAGGGCCCTGAGCAGCTCTGATTGAGTCAGCAGGGCAGGGAGGGGCCATTTCCACCCCTTCGGCCAGTGCGTGCCGCCTGGGGCCCGGGGACGAAGCGGAGCGGGCACTGATGGATGCCCACCTCCAGGGCGGGAGCTCGGGCCCCCTGGTGAGACTGGGAGATGAGGGACAGTGGCCCCCCACTGAGGCCCCCAGCATTAATAAAGACCCGGGAAGCGGGGCAGGCAGCCGGGGCGTCCTGTGAGCCTCGTACCCGTGGCCACGGCGGGGACTCTTCTGGGTGGACGGACCACTGAGGCTGCCAGTTGGGGGGGGGGGCAGGGTCCTTGATGGGCTGTCTCCCTGCAGTGCTCAGCTGCCTCTGCATGGCCACTGCCAGCCTGTGGGCACCCTGCTGGGTTTCTGGCCATGAGCTCAGGATGTGGGCAATGTGTGCCCTGTTCCACCCCGCCTGGCGTTGCCCAGGGCGGTCTGGGGATGCTTGACCCCTGAGTCCTGCCCGGGGGGCCTGGGGGACCCTTGACCCCCGCTTCCGCTGCCCCCTGGGTGTGTGTGTGACCTGAGGCGTCCGGGTCCCTTGGAGGAAGAGATGTGTATTTGCTGGTGGCCTCTGAGTGGCCACAGGCCATGTGGGTGCTGGGTTGGGCCAGGCACTGGCGGGTGGGGGCATCTGCAGACAGTGGGACCACCCAGCCCTGCCCCAGATGGATAGGGACCCTCCCTCCACATCAGCCTGTCTGGCCTCCCGGCTGTACCCCCCGTGGCTCTCCAGACGCCCAGTTCTTGACCTGTGGGCTCTGGGTGCAGAGGCCCGCAGGGTGTGGTCAGGGTGCTGACTCAGAAGAGACATGATGGCAGGAAGGCCTGGTTCCTCTAAGCACTCCAGGGGCTACTGGGGACCGTGGCCCCCGCAGCAGGGGAGCTGTGAGCTGGGCGTCAGGGCTGCAGGGAGGGCGTGTGGGCACCACGGCATGGGCAGCGGGTTTCCCGGGGACAAGGCCCAGCCACTCGGGTGCCATGGGGGGTGGTGGGTGAAACTGGTGTGGCTCTCCCTAGCCGGCTGCCCCCAGCAGGGCAGAAAATCTTGCGTGGCCAGAGGCCCCCTGCCCGCAGGGGAGTGAGTGTCCCTGAGTCCATTCCAGGGACACCCATGTCCCAGTGCCCATCTTCCATTTCTGCGGCCAATGCTGTGTCCACACCACGGTGAGGGGGCTTCTCAGACCCAACGTTCGGGGTCCCAGCGGTCCAAGGCTCTGGGGTTTCCTCCACAAAGGGTTCTCCTGTGAATGGATGTTTCAGTGAAGCCTTTCAGCGAGCCAGGCCCCCTCCTGCAGGGGGCTTGTCTACGCCTCCCCCATCATTAACGGGAACATACATTTCAAACGTGTGTCAGGGCTAGGGGGCCCTGCATTCTCCGGGAGCGGAGGGAAGGTGGGGTCGTAACCTGTCTGACCTGGAAGCTTCTGTCTGATTTGTGCTGCCCTGGAGTTGACAGGGACAGAGGCGCAATCATGGGGAATTGCTCCCCTCTGCAGGCTGTGCCAGCCCTCCTGGAGCCCGGACACCCTGCGGGCAGCCCCATCCCCTGGGCGTCTGGCTCCCATCAGCAGCCTAGCCCACGGGGACGTGTCACCCCTGAGCCCTCCTGGGTGAGGCCGCCAGGCCTGGGGGCGAGGAGGCCCCCCACCCCCTGCCAGAGGCCAAGGTCTAAACGAGCTGTTTACAGCAGCTGAGAAACCCCAGATTCTTCTGAACCAGACCCAATGCGTCAGTCCAGAGTGGGTGTGCAGTGGGGGGCAGGCCGAGCCCACCCGGCCAGGCCCCTTCGCCGGCTGCTCTCAGCCCTGGTAAAGGCAGAATCACCTTGGGAGGCGGCAGTAGTGCAGTTGATTAGCACAGCGACTTAAAAGAACGAGTCACAATGACATGTCCGGCTCCTGCGCACCAGTCCTTCATATTCCCAGCGCGCCTCACCCCTGTTGCAAGAAGGTCAAAAATTAGAGAGAGAGAACAATTTTCAAGCAGCTAGCACTTAGGAGCAGAATTAACAATCACTCTGTATGTAATTGCCAGTTAATAGTAAATTGCCTTCCAGACTGTAAAATGCAATATAAACGGGTGGCCACCTAAAATTAAATTAATGAGATATTTGCTGCATTTAAAAGTGAACAGTGCAAATTAATAACTGAGTGCAATGCTTGTTTTAATATTTGTCTAATAGTGGATCATTTGCTCGTTTAATAATAATTAAAATAGTCCCGGAATATCCTACCTGAGAAACTCCGTGGCCAGAGAGAACAGTCTCACGTTTATAATTTCAGCTGGTAGAAAGACATGGAGTTGTTCAGAGCAATAAAAGAAATTATTTTTTAATTAGAATGTAAGCATTGCGGTGTTATTCGATTAAGACAAATTGGAATTTGTATGCTTCTAATTGAAATTATGTTCGAGGGAAAACTGCTTTTACAGACAACGTTTGCGAGCATGAGGTGCTTTCGCACAATCACCAGCGTCCCTTTTCCCAGCGTGTCTGTTTGACAGAGGGTTCCCTGTGACACGGAAGGGCGGGAGCGGGGTGGCGGCGGCCTGACCTGCGGGCGTGGCTCCACGGGGCACCGGGTGGCCGCCGCAGGCCCTTCCTGTAGCCCTCTCACGCCCGAGTGTGTGGCTGACCACCCCCCTCCTCAGTTTAGAGATTGCTTTTGCTCAATTAAAGGAATTATCACAAATGGCCAGGCATCAGCACGCAGCCTGCCATGGGCACAGCCAGTTCAGTTACTGAGCAGGATGGTGGCAGAGGCCGTGCCAGGGCCGGAGTGGCAGGGACCGGGCTCGGCGGCCAAGCGTGGACGAGACGGGGACAGGAAGACGGCCGCTTTCTGCACGAAGATGTGCCGTGCAGACACGAGACCGTCACTCAGCCAGTGACTGCCAGCAGTTTTCGTCCTTCCTGACATGGTGTTTGCTTCCTTCTTTTTTTAAAAAAAATCATTTCTTGTTGTCGTTCAGCTGCTCCGTCGTGTCTGACTCTCAGCGACCCCATGGACGGCAGCACGCCAGGCCCCCTGTCCTTGAATACCTCCCAGAGTTTGCTGAAATCCATGTCCCTAGAGTCAGTGATGCCATCCAACCATCTCATCCTCTGCCACCCCCTTCTCCTTTTGCCTTTGGCCTTTCCCAGCATCAGGGCCTTTCCCAGGGAGTTGGCTTAAAACTGGCGACTTGTCGGGCCGGGGCGGGGTGGGGGGACTGCTCTGTCTCAGGAGCTGTCTGGCAGTAGGGCTGGCTGTTGGCCCTCCCCGGGGCCGCCGCGTCCTTTGGCAGCCTTCCTCTACCTAACCTACACTTGGGCCCACCTCTCGAAGGGCGCGGGCGTTTCTGAAGTGTTTTAAAGTTCTTGTGTGTGCGTTCAGATGTGACTCTGTCAACAGCCGATGACACGCAGCGGAGTCGATACCCTTTGGCCACCGCCGTGCCAACCCGCTGTCTCCCAGCCCGGCGCCTCTCAAACAGATTACTTGTGTCCACAGAACAGGCGATTCCTAATTGCCTCCCACCAATCATACTATTTTTACTTTGCTAAACTGTTTGCTCACGCCTTCCTTCCCCTTCAGTGTAAAGCTACCTGATTATTTTGGTGATCAGTTTTTGACCATGGAGGTAGACGTGTTTCCATTTCGGGTTTGGGGTTTGGGGGACGCTTTCAGCCCATGTCTGTGATTCCTGGGCTACCCGTCCTGTCTGTGATTCGAGGCCCAGCGGCGCTCAGCGGCTCCCCAGGCACTCCTGGCTGTAGCGGGGACCCTGTGGACCCAGGGCTGTTGCTGGTCCCCGCTCGCCAGTCGGATGGCGTCAGAGGCAACCTCTGCCGCCCCGGAGGGCAGACAGACTTGCTTTTAACATGAAGGCGGTCAAGTGGAAAAGCA